TTTTTTTAGACTTTTAAAACTCAGAAGCTGATCAAATATCGGGTTAAATATCGGTGGGGTGGCCGATGTCCGATATTCAGTTTTAAGGCCGATACAGGCCGATACCGATAGGGGGCCGATTATATCGTGCATTCCTAATTTTAGTATTTTTTGGGGTGTCTAAAGTGGCTTCCTGTCATCATGTGGCTGTCCTCAGCATAGACTCGCCCCCTGCTGGCCTGGCGCTAAAGAAAAACAGGCCGCCTCTGCATTGTTGCAACTTGGCAACTTTTTTTGGTATATTTGTCACATTTTCAGACCCCTCCAGAAACTTTTTTTATAAAAAAAAGAGACCAAAGACAAATCTGGCGACTTTTTCCTGTATTGTTTGAGACTTTGGTGACATAGAGCAGAGCTGGTTCTGTTAGCGCAGCTGCAGCCGTTCTGCAGTCTGAGCAGAGATGGGCCCGATCCCAAGCTGGCCCCTAAACACTAACCCTGAGAGCTAACCCTCTGTTTGCTGGTTCCCAAGGAGGATCCATCACATTAAGTGCCATCCCAAACCACGTAGTGAGTAGGGGCAGTGGACCATTCAGCCCTTAAATAGTGAGTCTGCCTCAGTTGCAGGCTCGCTGGAGTTCAGCAGCAGGTGTAACGGCGGCCAGGTGGCGGAGGAAAAATGTAAATTCTGCTCGTTTGCTGCATCTTTGTCACAATGACAGAAAATCACAAGTTAGTTTATGAACATTTTTTTAATCATTTCTGAAATGGAAGGTCCGATTTGAAATAGTTTTGACCGTATACATTTGTTTTAAGATAGGGGCAATTTGTTTTTATGTTGTGTTAACCTGCAACACAGAGCTACAGCCATGCACATGGTGCATCACTGTTGCCATAGCAACAACTGATTTCCTTTTACTTTGGAGGGCTGATGCCATCCCATTCTTGTTCATACCCCCCCACCTTCAATCAAGGCGCCTTCCACAGCTGCGAATGAGCCTTCATTGGGAGTGACACTCGATAGTTAGGGTTAGTGCTTAGGGGAATAGTTTGGGATTCACCCCCGACTCTCTTCTGTTTCCCCAACTAACATGAGTCACACATGCTCAAAGCTTCCACTGTTCCCCCCTGAATAAATTAATGGTATTTATTTTTCTTAAAACCCTTGCAGTGATATAGAATCAATCGCAGTGAGGCATTCGGGCTCTGAAGAATTTTAGGAATCTTTTTGAGACTGATCGATTGATTTGACTAAGATCTGGCTCCTGTATTTGCAGTTAAATTTCCAAAGAAATTTGTTTAATCGTAGCTAATTTATGATTTAGTAGATGGAGTGATTATTTATAGTTGAAAAAATTCCCAAGTTTTGTTTTTCCACTTAAAATACAATTGTAATTTGAAAACTGCTTTCTGTATAAATGTAAGAAATCCTTGGAAAAAAGAAAACACGTAATAATCCAAAACATTTAATTGTGACCAAAAACAGCACCGTATGCTCAAGCCAAGTCTGACACTCTCTCTACTTTGTGTGTTTTTTTATAGGACTGCTTTGCTAAGCTGTACGGCCAAGACGCCGCTGCAGAGGGGCGGAGATCTCACGAGACATTGAACAAATGGCTGCTAGTTGGTGCGGCTCTGCTCGGCGGAGTTCTGCTCACTGTGCTTGTTGCTAAGAAACGATGAACGTCCTTGCATGTCGCTCATCACGGCACATCACATGTAATGCTATGCCAACGCAAGTAAAACAAAGTAGTTAATGTTTACATAAAGAAAATATAAAGCCCGGTCTGCTTGTGCACTGAATGTGGTTCGGCTACAGTCAAGCAAATTGTTGGAGTATATACAACTAATGTAGCTGTAATACTACTCACTCTGCTCTTCTGGTTTCTTTTAACACGCAGCAGTGCATTTTAGTTAAAGGGTCTTACTGTTCAGACTTGAAGTGCTTTAAATGAACATAAGCTATAGGTTAGACTAAGATACATTCAGCTGTTTTGGTGAATTTGCTTTTTTTTTTTTTTTTGCCTTCTGTACGTTATCTAAGGACCAATTGTTATATCTCCTAAACTGACAGCTGACAGAATATAAGTTCTATTTTTTTCCCATTGTGTAACAGAGTCTTTTTGTTGCCTGTTTTGGAGTTTTAGGCATGCTTCAAAAATAAATATATTTATGTTTTTCTTGTGGCTTTATTTTATTTTTCTTAAACATAATATTCCAAGCACTCTCAGCTATATAATAGTTTATAGCTAGGGTCAGAAAGCGATTTGGTTGGAGCAACATTAGAAGTAGACACAGAAATGGGCTAAGAGTTGTTCACCTGATATTTTTAAATCTGTGCAATTTATGTTGAATCAGTTCATGTTTTACTCAGTTATGTTTCTTTTCCTTCTCCAAGTCAAAACAGAGGATGCAAAACAATAAAAGCAGTTCAGTTACTTTTATATGCCTTTGTTTTTTGTTTTTTTTTAAACAAAGGCATATAAAAGTAACTGATCAGGCAGGTCTGTCAGATCTGCCTGATCAGAAACTAAGGTTGAAGAATATATTGATGGATCAGATTTACTCATCCATTCCCCTAAACTGGATGCTATGGAAAGGTGACACTGGACTACTCCAGAAAACTAATACTGTACATGTTTGTGAGCACATTGTTCCCACTAAAACAGCCTATTAATATATATATTAGTATAATATAGTTAACCTAAAGCAATATGCAAGGTATGATTGTTACATGTCAGGTACGCCGGTCCTTGACCAAGGCACCTTACAGTAGAACTGCAGTCAGGCCCTGGACTGGCATGGTTATCACTGCCCCTGCATAGTTGGGGACAAACAGAGAGAACAAATTTCCCACTGGGATCAGCTGCATAATCATGGTAGGCCACTTCTTTGATTTTATTTATTTTGCTCAGGCTTCTCGTAAGCCCACAGCCCGCTAAAGGTTGAGAGGGCAATATTATTGCCATTACTGTTAATATAAAGTAGAAACGTTACACATTCAGTAATAAAATGTCACAGGGGATGTTATGGGGGGATGGTCATTTAAGAAGGGGGATGATAAAAAAAAAAAAAAAACATTTTTGAAATAGGGAGATGCTATCCTCCCTATTCCCCCCTCAACTCGAGTACTGGGTATTATATTTTTTTCTTCTGCAAAGGTTGCACAGCTGCAGCCAGAGGATATGGGGACATGGCTTGCAAAGATACTGAACCCATTCTCAGAGGTATACTAGAGCGGAATTAATTAAATTCAAAGTTCAATTGATTCAAAGTTTTCTATCTAAGGAAAACCAGTTTATTGCATTGACTCGAGTGCAATCCCTCACACTAAGCATGCTTGTAGCGACAGTGGAGAGGAAAAACTCCCTTTTAACAGGAAGAAACCTCCAGCAGAACCAGACTCAGTGTGAGCGGCCATCTGCCGAGGCTGACTGGGGTTCAAGGAGACAGAAGCAGAGATACAAAAAGCAGCTGTAAAAAGCGGCCCCGTCCAGGAAACACACAGCCGGGCAGACGAGCTCTGAGCCAGCTCCCATGTCAGAGGATGAAGAGAGCACATTCAGCCAGTCACAGTCAGAGAAACAGAACAACACTAAACAAAGGTGTTGATGGCAGCAGCACAGCTGAATCATGACTTCTACCCACTCTTACTTAGACTGATCTATTTTTAGGCCGTACATTTTTGTCTTAATATGTGTGGCTGCAACACAGAGATTTAACACCATCATTTTCTGATATGTATTTAAGAAAATCAGGCTAAATAATTCTTCCTATATATAGTTTATAACAGATTATTGCAGTTGTTACTAAATAAAAGCAGATCAACAATATTCTTCATAAAAAAAAAAGAAAATTTCTATGTTTGATGAACATATACAGTGATGTTCTAGACCAAATTTACCATTGGAGATGGTGGTTTTGTATTATGGGGCTCTGAACCAAACGATGAAACAAAAAACAGGGCAAAGGTTTGTTGTCTGATATGTTAAGTTAACCAAAGAGTCCTTGCAGCTGTGGAAACCTCAGACAAATCAGATTAAAAGTATGATCCTATGCCAATATGACTGAAGCTGAAAATGCAACCAATCATTTTTTTAAATCGTTAATGTAATAAAATTGGTCCAAAAGAATATACTAAACTATAAAATGTGGTTTCTGTTCCAATGCAAATAGAAATCTGTTTTTCATACATTCCTTTGAATATGTTTTTAGTATCGGGGGCCAAGGCAGGTTTTACGGGGCACTGGCCCCTGTCAACAAAGCTCATGAACATGTACTCAGGAATTTGATGTCATTTTTAAAGAATACTATTTTTATTTGAGATTTTTAGGCTTTAAAATAAAAATACACTCGTTGGAAGAGGATGATTACATTATTTCTATGGAATTCTGATAATTGTGGCATATTCTGTAGAAAGAAAAGCTCATAGTTTCCAACCTAAAAAAACACCAAACACTTCGTGCAGTCAGTTGTCAGGAGTAGTGTTGCATGTCAGCCACCAGGGGGAGCCTGTGTGCCATGCGTTGACCTGACATTTGAAGCTACTTTCCCTCTGCTGGTTATTGAAATGGACTTTATCACTGTAGCTGACCCAGTTATTGTTTTTACATCCACTTCAATGGAAAATTGTTAAAATACATTTTCAAAGCCAACATAGAAGCACTAAAAACACCTTTGTAATCATAAAGTTTTCCTAACTTATGATTCAGCACAGCCTAAGTTAATAACTCATGCTGTCACTGCTATGAAAAAGACAGCTCTGTATAAAACAGCACAAGAGCAGCAGGAGCGAGTTTTGCCACTAACGGATGGTTCTGTGAGTGTACTGGAGCCGGCCTGTGGTTGCTAATCTATCCCTGTCATTTGCTGCCATTTCCCCAGAGCAGGGCTGACAGCTGCTGCAGATAAACAGAAGATAGACAGTTGAGGAAAGGATATAAATTATGGATGTGACTTTTTCTTCACATCTCATGCCCTTTTTTACCCCCTGTCACTGGTTCCTTGCGCCTTTTTTTTCTGACTTATTATATATATTTCCCATTAAGGTCAAGCTTGCCGCTTTCTATTGCTCAGAGTGGTTTAGGGGGAACAATATAGGCAGGAATCACTGTAGATTCACATAGACAGTTATCTAGCTTTGTGCAACATTATATTCCAGTGCCCACAGGGAATCAGAGTGATTGTGGGTGTCATGGTTGATAGACATTCGCCTACTCCAAATGAAGCTGCAGAAAAAGTTTGTGTTTATAATCAAAATATTTGGCCAGGGGTCTGTGTGGGTGGGTGCTGTTACCAGATGTTCACTGATATGTGATCAACAAGATGAAACCAAATGCATAGATGGAAGTATTATTTCTCCCCGGCGCCTGCAATGAAGCATGGACAAATCAGCTGTGTTTTCGATATGAGTGATCATTTATAGATATGACTAAAGTGAAGCGTTCTCATCAACCCCACAGATTATGAAACCTGACAGGATAGGGTCATACCAGATGTGACAGTTTTATACACCAAACTCTTTCATAACCTTACCCTTTTTTTTTTATGGATGATTCCCATGATGTGTGCGTTTGTCTTTGTCACCTAATGCAACCCAAAGAGGCCCTCACTGACTAACCGACAGGGAGGATGAGAGTGGCGGAGCCAGCAGCAGGTGGATGCTCTGGGGTCTGTGGCCTCAGTGATAACTTATCAGTCATCTTGCAGTCCTTACTGAGCAACCCCAGCCCTGCTGCTCATTTTAAAAGATACATCACACATGCTTGCCTTAGTGCCGTGTTTACTACATGTTGCTTTAAAGGAGTTTCTTACATTTCATAGAAACGAAGGTAATAAGAGTCAATCTGTTGTCCAACACTGTGAAACTCCTTTCTTGTTTTTCTTCCACAAAAGTCCACCAGAAACTTTGCCTCAATACTCTAATCTAATCTGCTGAGACATGACCACAAGTGCGATCTACACGACCCAGCTTTCTCTGGTTTATTGAGCAGGATTCCTCTATAGAAACAATCACAGTGGCTGTGCTTGTCAGAACACTAAATGGCTATTTTTGTAAAATAACTTTGATCGATTTAGATGTACCATCAGTGGCACTCACAAGTACACAAACAACTTTTTAATTGATAGGTTTTGTTATGCAAAAATAAGTGAGAATGATAAGTGTTTCAACATATAACTGAATATTAACCCCAAAGATTAAAGGATCAAAGGTGTTAGAGGACAAACAAGGGATGAAAAAATGTTTTTAAAAAGAGACACAGTCTTAAACTAAAACATGTTTGAAGAACCTTTTCATTCAGTTTTAACATTAAGTCTTCGCTTGCATCCAGCATTTTATCTCGCTAATCTTTCACTAATAAATCTATCAGTTCATAAGCACATCATGTTTCAACCCCACCAGAATGAAGGAAATAATGCAACCATTTTTGGCATTTACTTAATGGTATTTAGTTACTTGTTAGGATTATTATCATTGATGATGTGTGAGTCTGTTGAAGCCCTAATAATACCTGCCAGTTGTGCATCAGCTCACTTCTGTAACTCTAAGCAACTTATCTGATCTGAGTAAGATTAACATTTTTATCAAAATCTGTTTTCATGTCTCATAGCTATTTATAACATATAAATGGTAAAGTTTTATTGAAAGAGTTAGTCCCGAATATTCATATTTAGTTAGCGTAACTAAATATGATTAAGTAGATGTCAAAAATGGTTGTATTATTTCAATTCAATCTTATACATATTTTAGTTTGAGATTCAATGGGGACTTAAAAACTTTCTTATTCTATAAGTTTAGCATCTCATAGTGGTGCTAAAATAATCTGTTAAAAAAGGGTAAGGAAAGGAAACACTGACACAAATACATCAGAGTGTGAAATCTAAGCTTTGTGGAATATTGATCTAGTCAGTTAATCCACTGATGCCTATTGTTGCAAATATGCAACAGTCTGTATTATGCAGCCAACATACCACCCTAGATAGTGTGTTCATTTCCCGAAATACTAGTGCGGAACTAGTTTGGCAAGTTCTTGGAACGACTGGTCAGTGAAGGTGTATGCTATCTATTATGATAACTATTGTGACAAATTTACAAAATGTATTTGTTTTGTGAATGTTTTTGCGTTAATTAAATGAACAACAGGTACCAAACGGGGAAACAATGAGATGACCCTAAAAACAGGTCCCACAGAAATTACTTTCATTTGACCAGTGCAGTGTCAATACTAGCATGAAGCAATACCTCGAGCCTACAGAGGCTTCACAGGTGGCCCAACACCAGCTGCATGGAGGGATTAATAAATATTTAGATTATATATTAATATGAATAAATATGTAATCTTAATTCAGTTCAGTTTATTTATATAGTGCCAATTCACAACATGTCATAAAGCTTTGATACATATATATATAAAAGTAAGCTAAATTGTACAATAACAGACATTGCTAAATCAAACAAACATGAAAATATAAAAAATTATCTTTGTTCTCCAAAGATTAATTTAAAAAGAACTTTATACTGGTCCTTAATTCTCTGGTTGTCATCCAGGGTGCCGTACATAAAGCTACTTGGTCAAATATTTGTTATTTTCTTGGGGGGTTTAGTTTCAAATTAGAGGAAAAAATTGGCATTAATAAATCAAAATCGTATAATCATATACAAATATCACATTTCCAAACTAAACATTGAATTAGTAAGTTGATTATTTAGTTTGCATACTAAATATTCAGCTTTCAATTAAATATTTAGTTCCGATCTAAATGTTTTTGTGTAAGCTAAACATTTAATTAGCTAATTTAATAACAATTTTTCAAACAAAATATTTAGCTGTAAAACAACATACGGTATTTAGTTGTAAATTGAGTACTTATTTCATAATAAACATTTGTGTGTACATTAAATATTAATTTTAAAACTAAACATTTAGTTAGCAATCTAAATGTTTATTGCATATTGACCTAAATATTCACATTTGATTGGAACTAAATATTTTAATAAAAGCTAAATATAGTTTTTCAACTAAATGTTTATTTAACATTAAACATTCAACACGCTAATTAAATATTATTTTTGGAAGTGTCGTATTTATAAATGTATGGATATTATGGTGATTATATGACTTAGAAATATGAACTCCCATTTTCTTCCTTCTTTTTGTTTTTTTTTTCTTTTTTGAGGCTGAATAGCCCAAAAAGTTGCTGCAAAATTTTGACTAGGTAACTCTACAAACATACCCCCATAAAAAAAACTCATTAAAGATGTTTAATGAGTGCATAATTTCTATCATAACATTGTTTGATTTTGTTACTATGGTTACATAGAAATAAATCTACATGCAAAAAAAAGACAATTTGTTGTTCTTGTTCTTTGGGCCCCCCCTCCCTACCTGCAAAGGGGCCCTTCGCAGTCAGTTTGTTTGCTTCTGTGTGGGGCCGGCCCTGATCTCTCCAAGTTGATGTGACAGATGTGAAAGACTGTGGAGAGGCTGAGGAGACATTATGGTGTGACATTGTTGAGCATGACTGGTACGTCAGTGTTAGCCTGGGGGGAGGTTGTGCAGACCAACCGTACTTGGACTGCTGCAGGATACCAGGATGAGTTCTTTAGACCCATGGATTTTGAAGGTGCCTCATATAGCAAGAACATGGAGGCCTTTCCTGGAGGATGAGGGAACCGCCTCTTTAAGTTATCTTTGGGTTCATTAACCAGCCTGCACATCAGACTGTCCAGGAGCTCAGATATGCCCCGATCAGGATCTGGAAGGAGATTCCTGGTATCCCATACAGCTTTTTGTACAAGCACCTCATACAAACTACTGAGCAGCATTTTCAGCTGCTGATAAGTTGTTTCCACAAACTGGACGAATCTACTGCATCGCTTTTCAGTTTCACTTTCACTGTGACTTGGAATAGGCCTTCAGTAGTATAATGATTTTTATGAAATGACACAACATGCTTTTGATTATTACCCATTTGAATTATTATCAACATCAACAACTTTATTAAGAACGCACTTTTACACCAGCCACAGCTCAGAGTGCTGAACATAAAAAAACTATCAAATTAAGATAGTAAATGAAGAAACGTGCAACAAAAAAACAATAAAAAAAAGCTTGAAAAAAAAACTGATAGAAACTCCAGCAGTACAAATTACATAACATCACATCTCAGTTGGGTTGAGGGCCAGTGGGTAAAATTACCGTACATATTTTAAATTAGTTTTAGTGGTGTCTTTTATTCTTTGAGGACAACTGACATTGTGTGAGAGGCGGGTTAAACTCTGCACAGATGGCCAGTCTGTCACAGGAAAAACAGAAACCATGGATGCATAGGATTATATAGAAGAAGGCTGAACTGCTGGAAAAAAAAACATGCATCCAACTCAATGCAATTTAAAGCCAAATGAAAGGACAATAGCTGCATCGTTAAACCAGGTGGTGCCTTCATCCTACCATGGTGGTTCTTCAACAGGAACAGGGAAGCTGATCAGGAGTCAGAAACAGGATGATCTTGTAGGAAATAATCTAAAAAGAAACCAAAACAAACATCTGAGGCTGCGATGGAAATTCACCTTCAAGTAGGACAAGACCCTAAAATTAAACAGCCAGAGGCAGTTGGATGGTTTGGATCAATGTGTTTTTATATGTTTGAATGGCCTAGTCAAAGTCCAGACCTAAATCCAGAAGATCATCTGTAACCAACTGTCCAATAAAGTATTTTTTTTTTTATCTGATTGAGCTTGGCAAAACTTTAAGTTACACTCCACACTTTTTAGGTGTTTTTGTGTGTGAAAAAGTTAAGGTAAACACAAAGTACCCAATTGTGCTGATCAATGACAAAACAAACACCTATTTTAATTATATACATTTAGGTTTGTACCAAAATCTAAAAAAATTGAATATAATTCAAGGGGTGTCAACAGTGTTTGAATGCACTGTAAATAACCCAAGTTAAAGTGATGTGAAAAACCTTCAGCAGGGGTTTGTAAAAGCTGAGTTAGACCTACACTAACACAGTTTATCAAAATAACCCTGAAAAAGGTTCACACACGTTAACGCTGCAGGGAAGTCAGTGAGCAGCTGATGATGGATGAGATTTCATTTATTCTAGGCTGGAAGCCGCAAACAGCAACATGCAGTATCCTGCAGGCAAACAAATATGTACCCCTTTCTCTTACCTGCTCAGCGGTTTTAAAACAAGAAAACTTTTTTTCACTAAGAATTTCTGGACTTTCAGAGCGACTCATCACTACGCATGTTATTTCTCTAAATACAGTCATTGTTTCGCTTTTTCAGCTCTGGTTAGTAAGCATTTTCTTTAAAGTGTCTACTCTTTGCTTTCAAGCATGATATGAGAAAGGAAAAATAATTCACACATTTCAACCCTCTAAGGGATGAATCACATCGAATAGAAAAATAACAAAATGTATCTATTATGAGATGTGTGTTTGTGAGACACATGCCCAGTTGTTCCTCAACGGGCGATACTGGTCAAAGCGTCCAACCAGGTGTAAGTGTTTCACTTTAGTTGAGTGTTTGTCACTTCTGCGGAATTGGGGATTTGCATAGCGGCTATGTACAATTACACTGTCAAAGTGGATCAGTGTCTGCACAAAGGCACCACTATGCCAGTGCAGAGGAGTACAATACCAGCACACAGGAGCCAACGCTTAGGCCAGGCCACAGAGCTGGGAATTCAAATGACTTAAAACAAAACCCCTCCATCAGTCAGCCATAAGTCAAACATTTTATTCTTCTCTCTGCACTTTATTTCATCTATGCAAATACATAACAGAGAACCAAAGACATTATAACTAATATGTAACTCTACATTATGGAGAGAAAGTGAACAATCCCCAAGCAGATACCTGGAAAAAATCAGATGCTTGTTTGTATTTACAGCAGAGTGAATCTCTTATCAGCAGGCAGGGGTTACATGTGCCATGTGGTTTTAATCAGACCTCACACGATAATAATCAACAAAATATGATAAAATACAGTGAAAGTAAACAAAATCCTCATTCATAGGATATTCTTTATGTACAAAGCCAAAAAAAGCACACTAGCTGCCGTTCGATCACACTAGAGTGGGCACCATGCCGGAGTTGAGATGGTGTTGGTAGGGTAGGCTGCTAGAGGGGTGCAGAGGGGTTGGGGTTGGGATGAGGTGTGGTGTGTGGCTGTAGGTCAGGAGGGTCCCAGGGCCGAGGGAAAAGGGCCCACCGTTATCATCCAGGGGGGGCGGCTGGACCCCGTCTGAGTACTGTTCCAGCAAGGCCGCCTTCTTGCTCTTCTTGTTCTTGCTGGAGACTTTTCTGTTGCGAGTCTGGATGCCTTCCTTCTTCATGGTGAGGGGTCTATTTACCTGGTAAAAGACGAGAGGTATTAAAACACACTGCAGGACTCTGGCTCTGGGCATGATTGCCGTTTTTGTCCTCATGTGGGCCTCACGTTGTGCAGTTTGAAGTAGAGACCGCAGGCGTTACATACGGGCTCTCCGTTGGCATTGCGCCTCCACAGTGTTGTTGTGCTGGTGTGACAGTTGGCACAGAGGGTACCAGCACGCTTACTCACAATCTAAAACACAGAGAAGGGAACACCGTCAATGTTTCTATAGAATCAGATATGGTTTTAGATCTCAGAAAAGTAGCAAACTACTTAGAGTCCTACCAGTCTCTTCTTGGGTCGGATCAAGGGTCGGTTCTGGCCATTCATCTTGTGGTACAGTCCGCAGGCGTTACACAGGTAGTGGCCTGTACCATCGCGGCGCCACAGAGGCGTTGCAGTGGCTCCGCAATTTACGCACTCTCTGGCCTCTGTTTACAAAAGAAAGTGGAGGTTTTTCATTAAGCATAAAAATTTTGATTTGTTTTACTGGGTCCAGAATTTGAGTTAAAAAAATATGAAAGATCTTGAAGTCTCAGTCACGGTCTTCCTGAAGCTGCTTTGGTGAGTCGTTGAGAAAATGACAACACCGTCTTTTAATTTTCATGCTTTGTCTGAAATCTCTTTTTTTTTATCAGGATATTTCATCAAACTGTAGAGATCATGTGTTTAAAAAAAACCCACATGGGGCAGCTAACAGTATCGAGTTACACAAAGGTGGGAAAAACATACAGCTTCAAGAGGAAAACCTTCTGTTCCTTTTATATTAATGTGGAAGAATATTTTAGCGTCATGTGAGTGAATAAAGTTTAATTCCCCCTCCCCCCCCTGCTTCCTGTCCTCTCAACCCCAGTCAGTAACCCCAAAGTGTTGCTTTAACTAGTCTAGTTCTGGTGGAGGTTATTTCCAGTTAAAAGGACATTTTTTCTCTCCACTCTCGCCACCTACTTGCTCAAGAGGAAGGATTGCTGTTAAGCAAATAAATTGATGCTATCCATTTGGCTTCTTTTGGGAAATAAACTTTTTAACCAAACGGAATAAACAAACAACCCAAAACATGGATAAATGTTGAACGCATTTAAAGCATTGGGTGTTAGATTTTACTGATTTTTTTTATTTTTCTCATAAACCGCATATGAATTAGATTCATTTCAGTTCAAATGTTTCTTGAGATATCATTATTTTCAAATTTGTACTTTAAAAATAAACTGAATCAAAGTGCACCTGTGCACTGTCAAACAAATGACTAAAAGGAGGCTCCTACACGTTTTTTACACTAACAAAAAAAATGTCAGTTTAGAAAATATCTCAGGTTTGGGGGAAAAAAGATTGATTTCAAGATTTTTGCTTAAATCTAGGAATTACAATAAAAAAGCAACTTATTTTTGCATAACATTATATTTTCACAAATTTTTTTGTTATAACAGAAGCAGGAATAATGGTTGGCTTTTCGTATGTTTGATATTTTTTCCTGAATTGTAGTGAAAATATCAGAACCATGAGGTTTGTGTTGATTCTCACCTGGAGTGGTTGCCCTCATCTTGTTTCGAAGTTTCGGCGAATAGGAGGGGCTGATCCATGCTCCAGCGCCGGAGTAGAGGGCTGCGGAGCTGTACTCCTGGGGCCCGCTCATGTAGGAGCTGTAGGGGCTCAGCATGTGTGAATGTGAGTGTGATGATTGGGTGTACATGCTCCCTGCTGCAGGAGTCAGATTTAGAAAGTTGCTGCTGGCCCCTGAACCCCCCAGGGGACTAAGACGCTCTGCTTTGAGGGCCTCCTGAAGACGGGGACTCTCTCTTCCTTCTCTTCCAGGAGACGAGTACCCGTCTCTGGAGGTGGTGAAGGAGGAGGAGACCCCAGGGGTGTAGAGGGAGGTTGGGGTGTGGAGGTGGAGTGGCGTCTTGGTGAGGGGACTGCTGCTCCAGGTGGGTGCTGCAGAGCTGTAGGGTACACTCAGGGGGTGGTTGGAGGACCCATCCAGTAGCTGGAGATTACTGAGAAGACTGGGGGAGGTGTACACCTGCCGGACTTTAAAAACAAAACAAGAATGAGATAATCAAATCTTGGTTTAGGGGATAAAGAGGGACTTTTTCAGTGCTCACCAGAGCTGTGTCTGTAGCTGGATGGAGCTCGGCTGTGGCTGGGGTTAGGGAAGAATGAGGAAAGCCCAACATAGTCGGTGTCTGTACCAGAGAAAAAGGCTTCTCCTTCTTCTCCAGAAGCCAACAGGCCCGGATCAGAGGAGAAACCAGCAAGGGGGTCAGAGCTGAGCAGAGTGGGAGACGCCCAGTGGGACTGATCTGACGAATCCTCCATGTTCACAGGAGAAAAAGTTTACCCTGAAGAAAAGCAGAAATAAAACAGATTGATCATTTTTTTATCCTGTTATTTCCTGCACCACCCTTCCTCCCTCTGCACAGCTCTGCCACCACAGGTGACTCGGATTGATCAGATAATGCAGCATCTCTGGCAACACTTAGCTAACACGACAAACAAGTGCAACTTGAAGTTATCAGGGACAAGATCTCTCGACAGCAGGCTTTTTCAAACTTCCTTTTCTAGGATCCTCATTTGACTGTGGCTGAAAGTAACAACTAAAAATAACCGGCACTTTAAAAGTAGTGATGCAGCCAGTGACCGAACGGTTACTAGGTGGTCTTAAACATGATAGGTGTGCCGGTTAGACGTATGCTAAAGATATGCCCGAGGGGACACCCTATGTGATGAAAGTGACACATGAAAAAAAAAAAAGTTCAGAGTGGGGGCAGATTTCGTTTTTCGTTTCAGCTGGACTCATAAACAGCCTGCACAGATAGTTAAAGCTATCGCTCTTCCAGTTAACATAAAAACATTTATAAAGAGATGAAAAAGAAGTGATAGTAAATGTCCAGGCCACTCTCGATCAGCATATATACAGAAAAGCAAAAATAAAAGTGGCTGTTAGCCGATGAGAAAATCTGATTTTCCCCATTAATATAATTCTTAGTATGTTCAGCTTCAATTGAACAGCCCCTCAACTTCCTAATAAACAATAAAAAAGTATGATCTTAGTAAAAAAAAATATGATGGTAAAAGTGTAAAGGCATCTAAGGGTGAGACAGCATGCCGTGGTTGGATGGGCAAAAAAAAAAAAAAAAGTCAGCAAAGCAGGTGACTAGATGGAGAGCTTCTACATAAATACATCTCAATGCATACTGATAATAACACAGATTTACACTTCATGAACAGTAAGTGTTACAGATACTTTAAAATAGAAAAATTCAAACCATTTTTACTAATTTATTTTAAAAATTTTAAATTAATATAAGAACACAAAATAATTAATCCAAATGTCAATAAAAAACAAACAAAAAAACAAAAAACAAAACACAAGGCCAGAAAAATATACTCCGTAGGAAACGGAGTTGGTTTTAGTTTTCACATGAATAATGACGAAGAGTAAAATTGGCCCCCAGGCAATCAGCATGTAAATCCTACAGTGAAAGCTTTGTCTTCCTTTTTAGCAAACCCTGGTACACCCAAGCAGAACAATTATGCAGACACCTCAAGAACATCAATCCGACATACAGAGGTCACCTACCAGAGTGGATGTTCACCAAATTTCTAGAACCTCTGTGGATGATGGCCTGCTCGTCTGACTAACTGTCTCGCCGCAGGCTGATGGCTACAAGAACAACTTCTTCAACCAGTAGCAAAGTTTAGGGCTTACGAGTCTGTGGGAGGGGTTGGAGACAACTTTTTTTTTAAAGGACACACCTCTCTGGTCCACAGAGAAAGGGCTTGCATGATGGCAGATGTTACATATTTACAGCAACAGGGAAAAAAAAGAAAATCACATTTAACTGTGTCATTTATTGACGAAATACAAATCGTCCTTGTTATCATCAGAGGGTTTGTGGCACTGGAAGGCCGTTCTAAATCTTAGTTCCTCTGCTCTTCCTCTGTGTCCCTGTGTGCTGCTTGCATAGCATTGATAACATGCACTCATCACAGATGATTCCCACCACGAATAAAAAAGCGCCAAACCACGGCTGTTATCAAGCTGCTCCAGGTGATGGACAGAAATACTGGATGAGGTGGGTTTATTTTATAGTGGGCTTTGCATGCTGGGGCAGATGCAATGAGAAGGATGCCACTTGGGAGCAAGCTCCATGCCGGGCAGCGAGAACATACCATGGGAGGTTTCTCTGTGGCTGTTGATGAAATGTGCATACAGCCCCAGATAAGAGCAAGCCCACATGGAAAAGAGTTTGAGAGAAACGTTTGAACAAAGCAGGGGTAAAATGCAAAGACTCAATTTCTTTGTGGTCCAGGCAAAGCTTGGAGTGAAGCGCAGTAATGCAAATCGGGAAAGGAGCAGCAATCATAGGGGAGAGATATGGTCTGGACATGGACTGGCAGCGCACAAGCCTGATACTGTGCCATTCATTTGGTAGTCAAAACAGCTCCCCAAATTTCCTCTCTCTTGGTTCATTTACAGTTTTCAGGGAAATCAGGGGAGAAAAACAGTTAGGAAAAAGCCTTAGTGTCATGTAACACAGCTTTTTACAGCCTTTTAAGAAACCACAACAGTTAGAGAGTTTATTCCTAAGAAATGGTAGATGGGGGCACTGATAAACTGCATCAGTTAGCCCAGATGCAAATAAATACATGGATCATGACAGCTGTGTGGAAAAAAAATTATTTATTAGATCAACCATCACTCTAAACATTTAATTCCCAGCCAGGATTATTCAAGTAATAAATTCTGTGAATAAAGCCAACAGAAATAAACTGATGAATATAGCTAAAGTCAACACTGTCAACCTCAGTAAACTTTTTATGACATTGATGATCAGGAAACAATAGAACGGCTTAAATATCTTCTTTAATCAGACACTCAGGTGAAAGATCTTTCTTGGTGAAAACTAAGATTGGATTTATCAAATGTTTATCAATTTTATTGAATAATGCCAAAGTAAAGTGAGGAGGGCTTTTATAGGGTACTGTGAGAAAGTTGGTGTTATCCATGTACAAGGTAAATACACGGCTTGTTACTTTCATATAGGGCTGATAGACTATATCTTTAAAAAATATATATAAATTGTTTATAAAGTTTAAAAAAATGTATGGTTTCCTTAGCTTTAATTCTTTGAAAAATATGTATGGGTCTCACACAAATAAGAAATGTGCAGAAAAATAGGCCCAGGATGGGATAACCCACATTATACATAAAGCCCCTGAGGTGGCTGTCTATGTAGATTTCACATCAGGAAGCGCTACATAAAAAAATAGACCCAATGTAAGACAAAGTCTTAACTGTTATTTTAAAAGCCCTGCAAAAAAATAATGGCATATATCATTGTAGTATTGCTACTTCCCATCCACTGTGTGCTTCAGAGCAGAAAGTACACATTTCTGAACATTATCAGAAACCCTTCAGACCCCCTCATGAACTTTTTGAGCAGCTGCCATCAGTCAAATGGGAAATCAAAACCAGACCTCATAATTTTAACAAACCCCCAGTATTGATGTAAAAAACACATTTGGCACAGTTTGGTGACATTTTTGGATAAATGTGCCAAAATGGCCTCTCCGCCTAAGAAATTTCTCACTAATACCATTCTAAAATAAATATGATTCATCTGATTGAGTCCAAATTTGGTATATTTTTACACAACATTTAGATTTAAAAGTCTGTACTACTTTTTTGTGCTATAAATAATATTTTGGTAGTGTTTTGCAATGTTTATTTAAAAGAAAATTTTGGCGAGGTTCAAAAAATGCAAAATATTTTGTATTTTGTCTCTAATATTTCAGGCAGGGTCAAAGCTACAATGGTGCTGACACCAGAAAACCATTCTATGACATCTTACCTTTACAGAGGTACCAAAAGTTTCTTCTTAAATCTAATAGCTGTGAGGCTATAAGTGATTTACTTTTGTGTGTTTTTGTCAGGCAGAAATTTATTTATACCCCCTGAGGGTGTAAGAGGTTAACCAACTAGCTATTGGCCCCAAGTACCACACTGAGCCTGATTCTGCTGGAGGTTTCTTCCTGTTAAAAGAGAGTTTTTCCTCTCCACTGTCGTTCCAAGCATGCTTGGTGTGAGGGATTGCATTCGAGTCAATGAGTCGATGCAATCAACTGGTTTACCTTAGATAGAACATTTTGAACCAATTTGACTGTATGAGCTGGTTGAATTGTATCCTGACGTTGTTTGTATTTATTTAACTCTTGGCTCCACACAGGAATCCCATGGGAAGATTAGGCCCACTCGATAACTATAGATTCAAATGGTTCCCATATGCTGTCAAAGGATTGCAATGGTTGATGTTTCACTAACCCAAAATAACCAAGTAAAAATGATGATAGGCTCTTACTTAACCAATAATGTCAGAACCTGGATCTGTAAATAACCTTAAACCCAACTTAACTAGGCTTCAGTTTCAAGTTTAAAAAGAAAAAGAGCAGGACATTCTATCTGCTGTGCTCCTTCATAAGCTAGCTATTAGCAATACAGGCTAATAACAGCCCTCATTGCATTACATGTATTCATCTCTAAATGAACAAATTACAAAAGAGTTTACATTGTTTTGCATTTAAAATAATAAATAAAATCCAAAACATCACAAGGGCTAAATAAGAGTTTACTGTGGCAGCTTTGTATTTAATATGAGACAGCCATATTGGATTTTGAGGGCAGTAAGAGATCTTACACTTTGTATAAGAAATCTTTTCTAGTTTATTTATCAACCTTTGGATAATTTAACTACATTGCTGTACCACAACAAAGCAAAGACACATTAGACCATATTTATTCATTTTAACGTCCAAGTCCTGTATCAATAAGCATTTCTGCCATGTTGGTGATACCTGAAAGATGTTAGAGCTGTGAAGATAACTTTTTAGTGACAGCTTGATGCCATTTTTTCCTGTGTATTTGTCCATTATATCCGACAAAAATCAGAAGGACAGCTGTGTCAAAGTCAGATGATGCTGAGCTGAGCTGCACACAGCGTACATCGGCTTACGTGGCTGTTATGAGGAGGAGCGACGAAGACGGGTTCTGTGTGGCAGTGTGGACAGCTGGACAGGGACGCTGCAGCCTGCAACGCCCTGATAAGCGCTAATCAAGATGAAAGGAGGAGGCCGGGAATTACAAGCCCGCTGCTTGCTGTTGCACAGCAGTAGGTCCACAGGCCTCTATAGCATTGCCCTGGTTGTGCTTACAATGACAGGAGCACACATACAGCATGCAGTCAGTTGTCACCATTTCCCTCTTCCACTTGAAGTGACACTACAGTGTGAAGTACAGGACAGTTTGGATTGGTGATTGAGCCAGTCGTAACTGGATGACGGATGGCGCTTTGTGTCACCACTGGACTTTGATGGCAGCCTTCAAATTCCCAAGAAACCGGCTTCTGTGAGGCGGTGGTCTTATCTCTTTGGTGCAGGGCTGCAGCAGCAGTGCTATACCCAGGAGAGCTCTCTCTCTCTCTCCCTCACTCACTAACACACAGACTCTCATCGCCAAACTCTATAGAGACGAGTTGCCTCCTCAATGCTGATCTTGGCACGTGAGGTGACATTTTTTGCAGCACAGGAGTGTGAAAGTATTGCTCTGACTAATAAAGTTAGATCTTCATTTAGCTATCGTAACTTTTTATACTGCTGAGCTTCTGTAATCTCAGAACACAGCTGTGAAAAACAGTAAAATGATTTCCTCCTGTATTCTTTCTTTATTTTCCCGTAAACTGTTATTTTGGTTTTTTTCTGGTTCCAGTGTAAAAAGAGGAGCACTTTTGTTAGTTGCAATGATGTTTGTGAAATCTTTTTTCTAAGAAAGTTTTTCTTAATGCAATTTAACTCTTTCTAAACAAATTTGTCCCATTAATTTATCCCTAACTCTATATATTTCTTTGAGATTTTGCCGTAGATCCACAAGAAGTAGAAACATCCCTCAATTAATACCTAGTAGAACATTCTTACAGCTTCGAATAAATTATTCTGCAGAAGAAAAAGCAGAACGGACTTGGTTAGAATGGATTTACACAGTGAGTTGCATCGGTCAAAATAAGACTGAATGTATCCGTCTTAAATTGGTCGAGACAATTTTTAATTTTACAAACTTATCTTTCTAATATGGTTAGCCTGCTTGTCACAACCTAATGGTTATGACATTGAGCTCAGGATCCAGAGGTTCTGAGTTTAAGCTCCACTCCCACAGACCGCCACTATGAGTCTCTGAGCAAATGACCCTTAACCCCACACTGCTCCCCGGGTGCCATACAATGGCAGCTGACCTGCTCCCCAAGGGGATGTGTTAACTGCAGAGAGCTCATTTTGTTGCTCTGTACTTGTGACAGTGTAATTACAATACAACGCTGACAATAAAAAGCTAGAAGCAGTGTGAAAAAATAACCTCCAGGTTACTGGCTGATGAGGGATGGCTTTAATCCAATAGACCAATGATACCTCCATAGGAAGTAGGAGATAAGGTTTTCTGAATAAAGCGATGACAGTTTAGATTTTATTCAGAGTAAAAAAAGGTTATCTTGATTTATCATTTACCATTTGGCCCTTGATTGATCCTTTTAAGTAGAATACATCACATTACAATACATTAAATTAGAATAAGATCAACAAAACATCTATTTGTTTTTTTGAGGAGTCATCACCTTGGAAATCTGCCATGATCATGTTTCAACATGTTGTTGTT